GGTAGCTGGTTTGCATCCACACTGGTCGCCGATCGAGTTATTGTAATAGCTACTGGGACTAAGGAGCAAAAGCAATATCAGTTGAGCCGCTCGGACGCCGCGCGTATCTTCACTGTTGTAAACCCTGCACCTCACGCGTTCTGCTGCTGTTAAAACGGCATTCGGGCCCCTAATTTTGCGCCTTTGTCCCGCGGGAGTCTACTATGATGCAAGGGAAAGTATGAATGAAACAAAGACACTATACCCCGGATTTATGACAAGAGCAACCGTGCTAGCACCACTTGTGCGTAAAAAATGACTATGGAACGTAGAACTTACGCATGTCATTGTGCTTATGAACGCATTGTCGGCATAACGTCTGGCCATGTTTCTCGCAAGTGCTGTTACTACGTAGGGACATTCAATTAGCACCATACTGAAGAAGGAGAGACCGGGAAGTTTTCACGGTGGAAGTAGGAGAGTCGGAGGAACTAAGACAGCGGCGCGGCTTCAAGGCAGTGTCCCGGCAGATTTTGTATTTTCACCTTTCTGCATGTTTTAGGGCTTTTCGATACGTAGAATTGAATTTAAGCTCTGAAAGGGGTGAAAAGACCGATTTTGGGGCGTTTACGCAATTCAAGAAAGCAACTCGGACAAGATTTGCAATGGAAGGTTGGGAGGCTCTGGCACGAAGACCTTGTCCGATACATTCTACTGTGGACAGCACAAGCAATGCGGGAGCCGTCGTGGGGCGGCAACGAACAGACAAACAAAGCCGTCGGAGCGCGCGCCGGTTCGAGGGTTAATTTCTCGGCGTGGGCGGTTAGTCAGAAACCCCACTACACCTATATCACCCAGGGCACGAATCTGCCGGGAAACTGCCATTAGAGGCACCTTCCACTTCTAACAGTTGCGATGCCCTCAATGTGTAACTGTCCAACTCGCGCTGTCGCTGCTTCCAAAGCGAGAAAATCGCTTCGAAAATCCTTTGGAAGACGAATTCGCCGTTGACTCCTCCCTTTTGAGTGGGCGTGACGTCGTTTCGCCCACTCAGTGATTTCGCGTAGCAGGCGCGAAGGTCAAGGTAAGGAGTGCTCATCTAATGCGAGTTCTGAAGGATGTTCAAAACACATTGATTTGAGAATTTCCTTCAATTTTAGGCGTTCGGACTCAGCTTGCGCAAGAGGTGTTAGATAAAAAGAAAAACACAAAATCAAGGACTTGGGTCGACGTGATTTTAAAGGGGCAACGTTCGTCCATTTCCGAGTTGGTGCGATTTTTATGCAGCACGATAGCGACTCCCTTAAATCAGTGATTGCCCAGAACATGACACGCCGCAAAAGGTAGGAGGAAGGAAATTACTACACAATGTGGATACTGCTGGGGTTGTCACTCCCATTAGAGAGTGTGGTCTAATGGTAATGACGAGAAAACTATAAAGTCAGTAGTAGCTAAAAAAGTCGCGGATCAGCCTCTCATTGTGAAGAAATAAAGTGATTTTTGATACGCAGGTATTTCTGGAGATACATCTTTTGCAGTGGGAGTTGGACAACTTGCTGAGGAGCCTCGCTATTGTACTATGTCAAAATCTCACCAACTTCAGAAATGAGCGGATGTTGCATTCTGCCATGTCCTCCATGGCAGCAGTTACCTAGACCCTGTCGACATTTTTTGGACATCTACAAGATGTCCAAAAATGTCGACACTGTTTAATCGCCAATAACTCCCTTGTTTGAATGTCTTCCGCCGAGCTTGAGGTACCATAGAGCGAGACTCAACTTAGATTTGCAGCATGGAGCGAATCACCAATCACTCTTCGTTACTGTAAGACGACGGTATGATCTTTGAGAAGGATTATAGGAAAGAGAAAGCCATTTTTGCCTCAGAGAAAAGACCAAACACTCACTGTAATGTTCTTTCATAAGTTATCTTGGGTTTGAGGTAACAACTGATTTTCCAGTGTTCGTCAGAAACGTGACTACACCGCTAGAAACTCGAAAGATTCGCAAGAAGTCCTCTGGTAAAATCAGCACGCTTCAAAACCTCGCTACACAAATTTTCGGATTTTTTAATTGAAAGGCCTATCTACATTGGCGCTATGCGCAAAGTTCATACTATAGGCCTATAGTAATGAAGAGCGATGGCGATTCGCTCCGTACTGTAAATCTAATAAGGGAAGGATACTTGGTTACCGTGGCGTTTTAAAAATAAAACGCACACTTTTGCATCTTAAAGCGGTGATTCCAAATCTCCTTTCGTTATCTGCTGCGCGCTCTTCCGAAGGAACTTATGGACATTTTTTGCCACCAAAATGTGCACTGTTTTGATGATAGGATTTATCAATATCGTTAGAATATTCACTTATGCGCTATAAAGCCTCCAAATGAAACAAAGCTTTACGTTAAGCCCAGAAAAACTGTCTCCGATATACCAGAGCCTAAAAAGACCGGATACTGACGATTTTGTGCCTAGATCTCGTGAAGTCAATACGGAAAAGAAGTCCATACAAGTTCAGAGAGTCGCACAGCAGAAAATGAAGATAGATTTGGAATCAGCGTATTAAGGCGCATCCATTTGGTATACATCTCATCGCAAAAGGCCACGGACACCAAGTGTCCTTCCCTTGTAAGTTAAACTTCGCTCTAAAGGAAGTCACCTTAAACTCGGCGAAAGACGTTCAAGCAAGAGAGTTATTGCCGAACAATGTGCACATTTTTTAGAACGCCTCGTATAGTTCGAGATCAAAAATTCCTAAGAATTACGGCTGACTATCTGGAATAAACAAGTGGCCATCACCCTACTGAATTTAAGGTTTTGATCAAAGACGTTAAATGAAAAGGAGAAGGGCGCAAATGTATCAATGTCATAATATCTAATACCTTATACCCTCCTAGGGAACAACATCAGTAGTATTGAGTACAAAAATCAGTCTCAATTGCTGGAAAAACATCGAAAAATCGCCTGAGGAACCCTCGTAAAAATTAGAATGAAAGTAACAATCACTACATTTCAGAGATTTAAGACCACTTCACGTGCATTTGATCCATCAATGAGCAAAATTCAAAGCAAGAAGATTATGCGCAGTAACGTTACTATGGGTAAGTCTTTTCATTTCTACCACTCAGTATCCACGAATAACTTTGTAGGTTTGACCACATTGAGCGCTTGCTGCTTATTGCTAATTCCCGATGTCATGATTCAATACAATATACCAAATGATAATGCAGGAGTAAAACTATTTCTTTATTCTCTCATGTTGAACAAGGTAAGTTTACACCTTGTCAACTTCCATATTTTGTTTATGTCAGTGCACAAATGACTTTAGACAATGGTCAACTTTTTTATTTTTGTGGTACGTCATAGAGAACTCCGCGGAATGATTGTCGTTGGTGGATCGACGACAATTAGCATTGTGCAAAATCATTAGTTGTTCCAAAAACCACCTCGATAATGGTGACGAAAAGCTCCTAGTCTGGAGAGTAAATCTACTAAAGCATAGCCGGCAAATTACCTATTATAAAATAAAAGCGATTATGAGCGTACGTCTAGTGGATTCGAGATTATTATTGCTTGTGTCACCGGCAACACTTACGTATGATTGAGAATGATATATTCAACCTGTAACCAATCCTTACTAAGTTGGAATTTACGTCTTAAATCCATATAAAAATCATTTACAAAAGCTCAAGCAACCATTCACTTTGTAAATTTTTCTGTTGCATACAATATGCAGTGATTAATCATGCATGTTAGCAATTCTAACTTGAGCAAAATCATAAATCGAAAAAAAAATCCAAAAACACAGCTCCTCGTAGAGAGATCCAATTAGCACAAATTCATCTCAACAAAGAAGAGCAGGTCACAACTTGGAGTGAATGTGGGATTAGAAGCTGCTAGAGCTTCCAGCATTTTTCAGTTGTTAAAAATGCTTAAAGGTCTAACAACCTCAAATTTTGCGATCAAAGAAAAAACCGATTGTTTGTGTCACCTTTTATCGCGCTACATGATAAAAACGAATTTTGTTTCATGCATTAGGTTATATCGAGCGGGTTCTTCCGGATTTGTAGGAAGTTGCGCTTTTTCAAAAATTTGGTGCAAGACTTATGTTCCATCCTGATACACGCCAGAGATCACGTCAGCATATCAGACATGGCAATTTTTTCCCATGTACTGATTTAACGCAAAAATGCCAACTGACCGCACTGTTAAACTATACGCACGGAGCATCAGACTGAAAAATTGCATTAAAGTCTCGTCTGTAATGCTGATGTCAAGAGCCAGTACTTCATCCAAATGAGATAGCTAACAGAGCTCTTGTTACCGTCTTCAACAGCACTTTCAAAGCAGAAAAACCTCTGTTCTTTTTCCGCCTGAGGTGGATCTATTTCAAGCACAGATCCCTTCTGATTCTATAGAAAAACACCAAAGCGGAATGTCTTTTACCGCCAAAAAACTGCAACAATGGGCTAGAAGTTACATGAAAAAAGGTGACAAGCAAAATTTGAAGCAACATTTGTCTACTAATCGTAAGACCAGATATTCAGGACTGCGTGGCTTGTCAGTCAGCTCACCTGCATGAACGCAGTTAGCTAACCACAAAATCAAAATGTCCCTCAATTTTTTTCTGAGCACTATTGGTCGTTCAAATTAAATTCTTCCCAATTCTTTCTTCGAGACTGAGTATAGCCATCGCTATCAGTGAGGCAAATGTTGCTCAGTTTGAAATACGAAGTAGACTAAAATGGATCTAGAAAACATTCTTTGGATTTTTCAAGATAGACAGGAATAAGACAATGGAAAATAATTATGGAAAAAAGCGACACACTATCCCAGAAATTCTTTCTTTTACCCTTCCCTAGAAATAAGGTATCGCAAGCGAGCAAAGACGAGCCAACGATAATGCAAACAAATCACGCTGATTGTTTGCTGTAAGATTCAAAATTCAACTTATGTAGCAGCTTAGTTGCATAATCCGCTGTCATTTGAGATGAGGTCCGCTATGGTGTTGTGAATCAAGCACAGTCAAATTAGTATTGAAGCTCAAAGATCCATTTCAAAACCTAATCTTTACTGTTCTAGATCAACATAGACAAATTCTGAGGTAGTTTACTGGTCGTTAGCAAAGTCAGCTGGATTCTTCCTCGAAACTTCATAATTCTTCCTCTTTGCCCAATCGTAAAGAAGATAAGCACCAACTGCTTGAGGTAGATAATAATACCACTGATCCCAAACGTAAGTTCTGAATACCTGAAAGAAATGCAAATCAAATCAATATGATACAAGCACGTGAAGTGCAGCGATGTCAGAGGACTGTTCATCAGTGAACCAAACAACTTGATAATCAGAAAACCTGGAGGAGACAGCACTTCTTAGTAGTAAACTCAATCATGCTTCTACTCTCTAAAATAATAATCAACGCCAAAACGACATGTCAAAGTAGAAGTTTTCCTAGAAGGCACAAGATATTAGTAGCGACAAATTGTCCGCAACTTAAAACTGAAAGATCGTCTTTTTTGGCAGTTCCAAAATGCAATATTTTCCGCATGCGCATCATCTGTGACCCGAAATCGTGAAATTCGCCTTCAGCTACATTTGCCGCTTTGTTTGTAAACATTAAAATATGGAAGAATTGCTGTTAATTATTTTAGAGGACAAAGCAGCTTTTACTACTTGCATAGCGTACCAGAACTAAAATTGAGAAAGATGAGGTAAAAAAGCTGTTGTTCTTGCGGCCCCATCGCAGCCGATGTTGAACTCATAACTTATCATCAAAGCACTTGTAACATATGCGCGCTCGAGACCACTGTGGTAGAAATATCTATATCCTCCAAGCAAGGAGCTCTCGCTGACTTTTTTTTATATTTGTAGGAATGTTATAGATGCCTCAATAGGTGAGAGGTTCACAGAGGAAGTGTTCATTTGGACAGAAAATTAACAAATCTCAGCATGCTAGCACCATTCGCGCACTTTAGTATTACTCCATGGGACCGCCATACTTCGCCGACAAAAGTCCAAAAGCGCCCAATAAGCCCCCCAAAGAGCCCAAATAAGCCTAAAAGCACCCAAAGAGCCCGAAGCGCCAGAAAGAGAACATCGTTGATAACATCGTTGTCGTTGAGGAAGCAATCAATATCTAACAGACAGAAGTTCAAAATGCTTCAAAGGACATTTGCTTCTACTTTTAGCATAACCAAAAATCAGCCATGCTCGTGAGCCCCCGGCATCTCCTAGAAAAAGTTTGAACTTGACAAAGAGCTAGACTATACGAATCATCACGTACAATACAAAGACACGATAGTTGAGCATGAGAAGCTAAAATAACATGCAGTTTCCTAGAAACAAAACTTGCTAAATCAAAATGAACTCGTTTCATCTGACTTGGACCCGGTTGCGAGATCAACACACATGCCCTAGAGCCAAAACTTGCGCGCGAAAAGGGGTATTCCGGCTTTTTCTAGCGCTTTGGGCTTTCTTGAAAGTATGACGGGTCCTCATTACTCGTATACTTTATAGATGAGCTCAGTCCAGTATAGTGCTTAGGGCTGGTAAGTAGATCACTTTTCGGACAAGAGAAGTGCCAGTCTACTGCATGAGTTTTTATTGGTTGATCGCATTCCCACCGGAAGAAGCTCTGTGCTCAATCATCACCCGCGATGCCGATGTTGTGGCGACAAAAGATGAGAAGACCAACCTTGCGGAGGTAGAGGAACGAATAGAGCTACATACCGCGCTCCCTCATACGGCATCAATAGCGTGTGCGAAAGAAACAGTAACCCGCAAAGGGGTGCCCGGCGGGATTTCTACCTTTAACAGCCCTGCGAATTAATCACGCAATCTCGCCGCTTGTATACTATGTCGACTTTCTTTTCTACGTCTACGCTGTTAATGGAAAGTGAAAGAAACGCAGTCAAAATGATAAAATAGGAATTCACATCAGACTAACATTGCAACTTTCTAAACCAGAAGCACCAGAAACACCGGCAGTATGTGGCTGAAGAATATTTTGATGACTGCGGTTTCGAACTTGGCACAAAGTGTTTTTAAGATACTATCATTCAGTAAGGTTTTAAAATCAAAAATGAATGTTTGAAAACGAATGCAGGAAGAACGCTAGATATGTGCGAAAAGATGATAAGGAGACCAGGGAAAAAATACATTGCAAAATCTACTGTGAAAATAAAGTCGACTTACTTTTACGATAGCTTGGTCGATAAAGCCTTTGAAAGCCTTCTGCTCGTTTGGTGCCAATGCGAAACGATGTTCGCCATACATCTGCAAGTAACTCTTGCGATAGTACTGTACACAGATAGCATAAACAGCTTACTTTGCCCAGCCCACCAAAGTGCTTCGCCAAGCTCACAGCTGATGTGCGCATTTCCTGATCTGGACGCAAAAGTTAGAAAACAAATCAAGAAACACACTTATTATTGAGCAAGTAATGGAGGTTCAACCAAGATACAACCACTCAAAAGAAAGCAGAGTTTTTATTCAATCACAGCTATAGAACTAAACGTCGATTTCTACAATATCCGACTTCTACTGGCTTGCCGTGAATCGGTCAAAACGCTCTAGTTTTTCAAGTTCAGGCTCGTTTCTTTGCGTTTCCAACTCCGTCTCTCTTGCGCGTTTCCACTCAAAACCGAAACCGGGCGTGGGTGCTTGCAGGCCAAAGTTAGCGTTCGGCCCCTTGTTGACTTGAATAGCTTTGTCGCGCCTGTAAAAAATGTTTTTGGAGGAATGGTTAGAAGAACTATCACTATGTACCCTACTTGTTTCCTTTTTCAAAAACGCATGCGAAAATGCTCCAAATCAAAATTGGGTCGGCATTCCATTACCAGTTACAAACCTATACTCCAATCAAGGCGGAGAAACTCTAACCAATAACAAAGAAGTCGCCACTACAAGCTAAACTGCGATTTCTCAGTCATAATGAAACTCTCCTAGCATCGCGTTGTGGTCTCCCGATAGCACACGGCAACTTTGCACTTTCAGTACTTTCGTAGAATAGTGGATAACGTTCAAGTAAAGAAGCAGTTCCGATCGGTTGCTAGATATAGGGCTTATCAAATTGAGTGTCGTTTGCACCAGCATCTCCATCTTCGCGCTGGACTCTGCGTCTCTTCCGCGGGACATGCTCTCTGAACACTTTCCCAGGGCGAGCGTGGGAAAGGCGGAACGTTCATTGATTGGAAGTGATTAGGGAACATGTTCCGCAGAAGAGACGCAGAGTCCAGCGAGAAGGTGGAGATGCTGGTGCAAACGACACTCAATTTGATAAACCCTGTAGATAAGGTTCCAAAAAGACTTCCTTTCGTCCGTGTTCCCTCCGCATTTGAGCGATGATGGTAGATTTGGGTAGAAAATATACTGTGTGCCCCTTAATGTTCCTTGGATTTCCCCAAAAAGATAAAGTGATGCTAAGCGTTACTGTCTATTAGCATGGCATGTATCTTACAAACGAGTAGCCAATCCATATAAAGATGGAAGAAAGATGGAGACGGTAAAAAGTACCTCGACAGAATGACAAATCGAAAGCAATGATTGCAAAACTCACTCAATCTTTTCCCCTTTGGCTGATCCAAATTCTACTCCATGAGCATCAGCGACGTACAAAACGTTTGGCGGCAGAACTACACGGCGCCCATCTCTGAATGTTTTTTTAATGAGAGACGGTAACTGAACCCTGTTGCTAAACAGTCTAGCACAGAGGACTGGTAGAAATAGAAGCGATTTTATGCTTTCATATGACCGGTGAAAAAGCTTAACAGGTTTCGGACCGGTGCTGTACATGGTGCACGATTTTAACACTTCGAATTCACTCAGAACTTTGGGTATAAAGCTTATCTGACATGCTGATTACAGATGTAGCCTGTAGTCTACGAAACAAGGTCCTTTTATTGGCTAACGGTTGAAAGTACCCTCTTTTTCGCCGCGCGCGATTTCGCGGTCCGAAACGTGTTAAAAAGGAGTAAAATCCAGAGAGTATCAATTTCCCATACCTTGTGTAATAGTAGTTTTCAGCTAGTTTATGATGAATACCCCCAGGTAATGATGGTAGTTCTGCAGAACCTGGGCGCGCTGACTGCGTCTTCGGGAAACGTAGCGGATTGTGATATACAGCCTAAAAAAGCACAAATGTTAGAAAATGCGAGGCAAAACTACAGACCTTTCCGTCCTTTCCAGGGATACCGGGTGCTGGGGTGCCTGGCAATCTGTCTACAGCTAATAACTTATTTCGAAGCCATGTCCAAAATGGTGTCTGCGTACGGTTCTTGGTCGCTGCATCTGCGATCTTTCGACCGCTCATGGCGACTGAAAAATGGATGAGAGAAAAAGCCAAAAAATGTAGAGGGCCTGAAAGAGAGAGGGCTTGAATCTAACGAGAACGACATCAATCGCCACTTCTTGAAGCGAATTTCTGCAGATATGCTTTGGAAACATGGCACACAAAGCACTAGCACTTGTACTTCTCCAAGTAGTGATAAATGGAAGTATAAAATCGAGCGATTCAGAGAATATCAAGATTTTGAGAGGAAATCAACAAGGAAAATCAGATACGAGCAATGACTCGCATAGTTTTGTAGGTTTTTCATTTTCGCATCTTTTGAGCAGACTCATTGAGAAATGAAAGCATAATACAGAAAGAAGCATATATATAAAAATAAAGCTGTAAATTTCAGGCGGTGACGCAGCGCGTGAAATAGCGCGGCAACTTGTCGTTAGTCCACGTTATTCGACAACAATTGACAACTCGCAAAAATTTGCAGTTCTGTTGTTTTGAGGCCACAAAAGCGAATAACACCAATGAAAGTTCCTCTTTGTTCGCAGTAGCGTCAATTCAGAATAAAAAGTTTTCTTCTGCAGAAGAACACAAAGTTTAACTGTGAGTTTAACTCTTTCTTGGGGACGTACAGTATTTGGCCATCGTCCATCGGCCGAAAAATAAGATGCTCCAAACAAACAGAGCCTAAACCTTCTTAAAATGCTTTGTTTTAGCCATATTTTTTAAATGTACTAGCAAAATGAAAATATCATGAAATTCTTTCTAATTTCAGTATCCTCTCTTTTCTATAGAAACTTCAAAATTGACAATCATGAGGGTCTCATGTAAATGGGGTTGTTTTGCAAGGCGAATTCAGGAATGATGATTATTTTGCGAAGTAGTTTTCTCTTGCACAGTTGCACCTGTACTGCAGGGAAGCCAAATTCACAAATTTGTCCGAAAGAATGTCTTGACTACTGCTGATTTTTCGTCGCTGTAACCTATCTTCAGTGCTTTCGCGTTTCACTGATGGAACTTAGTATTTAAAAGGATAAAGGATAAAGGATTCGGCGTCTTCAGTACCCTCTGAGGGCATGCGCCGAACGCACACACTAACTTCATGGTCGAGGAGGCAATTGTATGCGTGCGGGCCTATTACAGTGACTTGCGGGGGCCAGCCGTTTCCAAGTCAGTGCTTTTATCCTCCCAGATTACTTTGGTGCCAATTTACCGGCCCCGGGGGGGGGGGGGTAGAGGGCTTGGTTGGCCCAGGGGCGGGGATCGAACCTGTGTCCGATTTGGTCATGGCGGCGCCTCATACCACTACGCCACTCGTCCCCCGGGGACTACAGGGCTTTACAACCTGAGTGTCCCACCCGCCCCGCTAGGACGCCACGCTTAGGTCCGCGCAGCGTTCGTGGCGCTGGCTGCGCGTCGACTGAAGCTTGGCGAAATCCGGGCGATACTCAGCAAACGCCGCGCGCGGCCTGAGCGAGGCGGCCGCGTTGGAGGAGCCGCGCAAGCGAAACTTGCGACTCTCAGGTTGAAAAGCCCTGTACCTCGCCCCTCGTCCCCCACTTAGTGTTTATTTTCCCTTAAAGCCGTATGACTTGTTTTGATTCAAAATAAGGAGTTGATTATTTGTATCTATTTGTATCAGATTATTATAAATTCATTCTTCTGCATACCTTTCATAACCTTATCAATGTGAGCACTATACAAATAAGATCGTTTTCTATTCAAAGGCTTACAAACGCTTACCAGAAACTGAGGCAAATACATCATGAGAATTTAGTCTCGCTAAAGTTCACCTAACGCAAGTATGCAGTGATGGGCTACCTTACAAAATACTTGTCATTCCTGGATCCGCCTTGAAAAATAACTCCTACATAGGGATTTATCTCAGAAAGCGATTGTCAAGTTCTTAGAAAGAAGAGAGGATATTGAAATAAGAAATAAACATGATATTATCGTTCTGATGTACTTCTAAGAAAATACGGCAAAAACAAAGCTTTTCAACAAGGTTTAGACTCTGTTTGTTTGGAGCATCTTATTTTTCGGCCGATGGACGTTGGCCAAATACTGTACAGGCCCCGTAAAACCCAATTGCCCACGCGTCGCTTTGAACACCAACGCGCGGCGCGGCTGGAAACGTTTGGTCCCGAAGCGCTACAGGGTTTTTTCGAGCGACAATGAGCGCGCGTCCTTTCCACACATATTTTTTTAAACTTTTGAGGGGGGCTTTTGTCGAGATATACCTTGCATTGACGATAACAACATGAAAGTTAAAGAAAGATTTCTTTGAATATAGTGAACGCCGACAGTCGTTCGCGACGACCGCTCGCTTACGCTGGTGTTCAAGGCACGGCGCGGACAATTAGGTTTTACGGCGCCTATACGTCCTTTCTTGGGTAGCTTTTGCGACGCATTGAAGATAAAACTGCTTTCCATGATGTTACAACCAAAAACCACTTCTTGTGCATGCAGTATAACGAATTGAAGGGACTTCCTTAGCGATTTTTGATGGAGACCCTGTCTCTTTGACCTTCATTTTTGTGACAAATTGAAAAAAGCTTGAGTTGTTGACAGAGAGTCCACTTTTCGTAGAAGTTTTGAATCACCCGACATACAGATACTTCTCATTCGGTATAACAAACGATCTATGGATCCCAAACTTGCTCATAGTGAGTGCACAACGAAGTAATCAAATTTTCTTCAAAACACAAGCAAAGGTACATAAAAATAACGCCTATACAAGTCTTCCAATCTTTAGCATCAGGAGACGGAGTCACGCTGCACAAAAGCTTGCTATTAGAAAAAAAGTCGTACAAGAAAATTCATGCAAAATGTTCACAGAAAGAGATCAATCGTGTACAATCTTTACCCTTTCGTCGTCAATTTGTTGCCGCTGACTCAAGGAAATCTTTAGTACCAGCTCGTTTCAAGGTATTGATAGGCTGTCATCAATCAGGATTTTCAATTTAGCCTAAGTATGGATCAGATAGTAGACATCTGTGCCCATACCCTTGATACATAGAGCCACGTACTCTGGTAGCCTTCACCTTGAGGGCTATGAGGGGACACAACCTTCACCTGGAAAAAAACAGAAGTCA